AAGGAAGGAAGGGAAAGGAAGGAGGGAGCGGAGGAAGGGTGGAAGGAAGGAAGAGGAAAGGAGGGAAGGGTGAGGAGAAGGAGGAAGAGGCAGATTTAGGGAGGAAGGAAGAGGAGAGGCAGAGGAGAAGGGGAGGAAAGAAGAAGAGGAGAAAAGGGGGGAGGAAGGAAGGGAAAGGAAGGAGAGGTGAGGAGGGAGGGAGGGTGGAAGAGAGGAGAGAAGGAGAAGGAGGGAACAGGAAGAGGAAAGGAGGGAGAGGCAGAGATTTAGGAGGGAGGAGAGGAGAAAAGGGGAGGAAGGAAGGGAGGGGAAAGGAGGAAGAAAGGGAAGGAGGGGTGGAAGAAGAAGGGAAGGAAGGAAGAGCAATACTACTTAGACTTATATACCGCTTCACAGCGCTTTACGGCCCTCTCTTAAGCGGTTTACAGAGTCGGCCTCTTGCCACCACCCTACAATCCGGGTCCTCGTTTTACCGACCCCGGAAGGACAGAAGGCTGGGTCAACCTTGAGCCAGTCAGGATCGAACCGCTGGCTGTGGGCAGAGTTTGCCTGCAGCGCTGTATTCTAACCCCTTTGAAAGAAAGGAAGGAATTTGAGGGGTTTAGTGAGAACCATTAACCAGAGGGACAGCTTGCCACCGGAACTTGCGCACGCTCCCATCGCTGGAGGTTTTTCAAGAAGAGCCCGGACAGCCATTGGTCTGAAATGTATACGGTCTGCTTGTGCAGGGGTTGGGCTAGAAGACCTCCCGAGGTCCCTCCCAGCCCCGTTCTGATCGTTTTGAGGCTTGATTGTTATTCCGAGCGTAGTTTCTACCCGGTTGCAAAAAAACAACAACGCAAAAGCTGAATGCTGGGTCCCACAACTGCTGTACACGCACAGCTGTTTCTCTACCCCACTCCTTCCTGTCCCCCCCTTCCTCTTCCTCTTCCTCCTCCTCCTTCCAACCACCCCCCCCCATGCCTTTCTGCGTGTTTTAACTGCTCCATCCCACCTCCTTCAAACCGGTTCTCCGGAGAGCGGTCATTTCCTGCACAGTCGCACCCGAGCGGTTTGTGATGCAAAATCCAGAATCTTGGCTTGCTTTTTTATTTTATTTTTATTTTTCTCCGTGAGGCTCATGCGGAATCGTTTTGTTTTTCTGTTTTTCTGTTTGTTTTCGTTTATTTGAACCCCAAACAGAAGCCCCGTTTGTCCTCTCGTGCGGGGGGAGCCGGACACCCACTCCCCTTAGATGGAGAGGGAGGAGGAGGAGGAGGACGGGGTGAAGCTGCTGGTGAAGGTGCCAGCTGCAGGCTCCGTTTTGTGCCAAGACCTTGCACTTGTGACGTGCACAGATGGGGGAAAGGAAGCAGGGGGGGGGGGGGGGAGGGGAGGGGGGGGGGGGCAGACAGGTTATGGGGGGCCTGGGAAAGAGGAAGCCGGCTTCCTCTCCATAGGCGAGCGTTGGAGCGGTTTCAAATTTATTGGCTTTATTTGTATCCTGCGTTTAGTTTTTAGTTTTTTTTTTGCAAAACAAAACAAAACGAAACCTGCCCAGTTGCAGAAAAAAAGGCATCCAACTTAAAGCGAGGCAACTTCCTCCTCCACTAATTTTCTACATAACGGCAACCGTGCAAGGTGGGCTGGGAGGAGAGAGAGGGATTAGCCCACTCATTCAGCTTTCCCCGCCTAAGGCAGGACTAGGACTCGCCGTCTCCTGGTGATGGGCCCAAAGCCACCCGATTAGGTGGGACTAGAACGCATCGTTTCCTGGTGATTGGTCCAAAGTCACCCAGTTAGGCGGGACTAGAACTC